GGTGGCAATGGTGGTTTTGTTGTTGGTCGTACTGGGTTGACATGAATATAGAAAAATAAAAGTTCATATGTACAACATTGAATGCAAAACTAAACCTAGACCTTGCATAAACGTACGGTCTTTGTGTTGTTCGAACGACTTAAAAGTTTAACCTATCTAAAGTTACTATCATATTACATAATTTTATTCAATCAATTATGAAATGATGCAACACAAATTGTATTACCATTTATAAGCTAGACTCAAACAAATTCTCTTATTGTTGTCTAATAATATACTTGAAATAGTTAAAACCATGATTACTGTATATAAACAAAATGGAAAAATATTTACTTATTCCTTCTGGACATTTGAAATCGTGCTCTGCAAATATAATCATAGAAGTTGTTCTTTCTGATCGTTTTGCAAATATTGGTTTTAGATGAAAGAAATGTATTTATATATTGCGCCAATGACATCTTAAATATACATCTAATTAAATTAAAGATACTACACGTGTGTAACACCTATTTTCATTGGAAAACATGAGATTTATATCAACTTTTATTATATAGATTATAATAAATTCCTTAAATACATTTTGTCAGGTTATGTATATTTATTATTAACAGTTGTCGGATTGATAATAAAATACAGTCGTTTATATTGTAACAAATAACCTGTAAAAAGACTTCGGGCTCCCCTAATGGTTAGACTTATGGTTAAGGTATCTGTCTCTCTCAACCTACGGGTTGTCAGTTCGAATCTTTTCCGTGTGACCTTGAGTTCTGACATGACATCAGTTCTCAGTTCTAGTTATTTTCAGAAAGTAAACTCGAAAGAAAGTGATATATATAATTATACACATGTATAATTAACAGGAACCTGTTCCAAAATCACAGTTTTTAAACTAAACGCCTTTTATGATGATAATTAAGCATTAGATACGTGCGACATGTTATAATACGACGAGTTAAGTGTCTTTTCTTAGATAATATTACCTATTAAAGTTTTATTGAGTTTTCTGTTGTATGGACTTGGGTTACAGAGGGTTGTGTCACAACATTTCACGTTTTTGTCTTTCTGCTCACCAGTCAAATTTACATACACTTGACATTGCTGAGAAAATCAAATCAAAAGCATAATAAGATCTTACTGGCATGGAAGTCACGCCATGTCAAATAAAAAAGAAATGTTGTTTCATAAGATATGGTGGCATTTTTCCACCAACATTGAAACACTTTTTCTTATCACGTTTGCATTATATTTACCTTCTAATTATCTGATTAATTTGCAATTTCTTTCTTTTAATTGACGGATACAAGGTAAGTTTCTCCAAAGACACTATAAAGTGCTTACAACTGTCAACACTTTATAATTTCTGTTTATCTATAAACCAACCATATATGCGTTAGTCACTTAAGTTTCAGAACATTATCACGTAAATATTTTCTTTGATATGTCACATGTTATAGATACACAGAAAACATACGTATCTTTTATCTAATAAGTAAATTTTGGCAGTTGTGACCACTTTCTAGTGTTTTTGAAAGTTATATACATGTACTTACATTGTATTCGTCATTAAATTAGATGTAATATCAGGTAAATAAGATAAATATATTTGACTGTTATATATGAGCTATGCCACCATAATAAAAATATAATTATTTCTTTAATTACTAAGTCTGGTTCTATCTTTACTTTTAGTTCTTTATTTAAACACCGCTTGAAATAAGCCATGCCATGTTAACAATTAAAAATTACCAGTTGTCATAACACGCTTATATTCTGAATTAGGAATGAGACGTGGTTATGATTATAATAAACTCAATATTTACCCCTCTTTTGAATTTGCATCCGAGTTCATATGTCCCAGGTTGAAGAGAACGAGGATGATTTGTGACCGAGCACGCCTTTCAATGATAACAAAAAAGTCCAAAACATAATATTTGATTTAAACTTCATTTTAATATGTAATAACATGCAAGTCAATGTATAAAATGGGCATATAGAAACAAGATTAAAAAAGAGAGAAAAATAACATTTGTAAACTGTATCTTACCACAAAACTAGTTAAAAACATTCAAATTATGACAAGTTAATAACAAAACAACTAGGTCAACATGTTCCAAAAGACAATGACGGTTAAATTATCAAAATAAGACAAGGCATTGAAAACGAAACAAGATCACATGACATTGACAAAAACAAGGCTTGAGGAAGAAGACATTGAAAAACATAAAAAATAAAGATCACGTATGTTGTAATTAAAGTTTTCACCACACTTAAGTGAAATGTTATATATGTATATAATTATGCTTCCAAAACAATTTTCAAACATCGAAGAATATGTTAAATATGTACTGAAAATATGTAATCAATTAAATATATGAATTCATTTCTTATTGAAAAATTTAACTTAGACTTTATAGAAATTAAATTTTTAATTTCCTCCCTTTATTAACATGAAATGTAAATTCGGTAATATTTTTACAAAGAATGCTTTTTGGAACTTACAATAATTATAAATATTCATTTGAGCATTATATTTATGATATAAAACCATAAAAAATGAGTTACAGGATCATTAAAGGTAAGAATTGAATCTGTAATCATATAAGGTTAAAGTAAAAGAAGACATTGGCAGAAATATAAGGCCGGAATGGCACGTGACATTTACGGCATACAACGCCAAAGGAAATCAAGTCAGTGTCAAACAAGATCAATACATGGAAAAAATTCACGATCAAAAGTAAGACTTTGAAATACCTTAATTGTAATAGTAAGTCAATAAATTGACAAACATAAAAGATCAGAGTAAGAAAAGACATTGTCAAACATACACGATCATAAAGATACACAAGACATAGGCAATAATGCAAGGTCAAAAAGTTAGACAAGAAATTTGCAGACGTACAAGGTAAAAGTAAGACAAGATATTGACACAACATACAAGGTCAGAAAGAAAGATAAGTCATTGACAAACATACAAGCAACAGTAGATCAAGACAATGACACACTTATTAGGTCAAAAAGAAGACATTGACATGCATACAAGGTCAAAATAATAAGACATTGACAAACATACAAGACCAAAAAATAAGGCATTGACAGACATACCAGGTAAAAAAGAAAGACATTGACAAACATACAAGGTCAAAAAGTAAGACATTGATAAACATTCAAAATCAACTAAGAAAATACACTGACGAACATATAAGGTCGAAAGTTATACAAAACATGGGCAGACACTGAAATTCAAAAAGTAATATGAAGCAATATCAATGTTAGACACTGTATATTAATAAAATGCACTAGCTGTTAATAAATTTATTACACTACTTACTAATGAAAGTAACTTTATAAACTATTTATTTATAAACTTAATGCACTAGCTTCTTATAAACTTTATCCTCTACATATTTATATAAAACATACACTAGCTAATAATAAACTAAATGCACTCACTATATACCTACTTACATACTTAATGCAATAGCTACCAGTAAACTTTTATATACTACTTACTAGTAATCTGAAGGCACTTTACATATATAGCTAATAAAATACTTTACTTAATACTTTAATTATTTAATATTTAATGCACGACTTAGCTTGCTTGCAATTAATAAACTTACATATAGTGTCAGGTCACAATCTTCAGTTGTTGTACACTGTGGTCCTCCTTCATAAACCTCGTCACATTTAAAACATTGTGTGATGTTGTTCGCTGGTCCTGAAATATTTATACCAATACCAACAGAACGTTTTAGTATGTTTGTTCTTTCTTGTTTGCAATTGTTACCCCCAGCCCAACCCCCTCCCGCATCTACCAACTGTCACACCTAACCAAAGTTCAAAGTGAATTGTTACCGAAAATGCAGAATGAAATTTGCAGAGGTCGTGGCAATTCATTCCATGATGTCTGGTATGCACTGACTAACAGTTTGTCGAATATCCCTCGTTATTTCTCCAAACTTTGCCTGATTGCGCTTTAAACCTCAACGTAACATTCACTTAAACCGCTTTAACAATTCTAACAAAGATTCCCTCATGCACTGTTAAATTTTCATCTGAATAAAGCAGAATAATTAGATTTCACGGACGGACATTGAGAAAGTGAAGTAGCATTACTCCTTTTGTATTTGTTTTGTGTATATATTCTTACGTTTATAACCGCATCCTTCCGCATTGCAGCTATCCTCGAAGCAGCATTCGGAACACAGTGTTAGGTCATTGTTTACCTGTTTCTTCCTTGAATTCCCGTCACCGTATGCGTTCTTATTACATAATTGTAAGTTGCAATACTGAAGTAGATCAAATTTTAGGCATAAACTTTGTTAATGAGATCTTACTAGCAGTTGCTTGTGTGATCAGGTTAGGTCATATATGAAGACAAAGAGGATATTGGTTTGTTTGTGTGTAAGATGAATTTTATTTCATCGAGTGGGCTTCAATAACAGTATTCTCACGAGTGGCGTAGCAACTCGTGAGAATACTGCTTTTAAAGTTCACGAGATGAAATAAAATTACATCTTACACAACAAACAAACAAATTTTCTTTTTATTTTATGCTTAAAAACAAGTTAAAACGAGATTTCCTTAATATTAACGTTAATATCAAATCTGTTTTCCCCATTGAAAGCCTCATTTAGTCGAATTTCTCATTAAAACAAGAAGTCTTGGGCTGAAAACTAAGTTCGACAATCAACGTTAAATGGCGGTGATATTATTAATTTTATTAAAAAAATATGAATGATCGCTTGTTTTAATACTAAAAGCAAACCATTCTAGTAGGAGAAAAGTCCAATCATCCATCCATATTTCTGTTACTTACTGCGAATTTATATAAGACCTGGCTTTGTTAATGTAAGCGGCCGCAATTTTTTAAAGTTGTGCATTTCACGGGAGGGAAATAATTGTTTGATTCAGAGGAATATCATTTAGATTTGTTAGTCATACACCTTTTTAAAAGAAATAAAACTTATTTAAGAATTGTAAAAGACAATAAATAAGTGTTGACAGAGGTGTAAACATTCAAAAGCAGCTAGGAAACTGGAAAACTTGGAATTGTTGAAAGTCTGCCTAACGAACGCTGGGTTGTTTACTTATTCTTTGGGCTGATGGCTGTCATTGCTTTTCAAGTTTTCATAAAGCATACGGCAGCTATTGCTCGTAGGATACTTAAATATGCCCAACTGTCATCAAGAGCAGTTTTGCATGTGGAAGGAATGTATTTTTCAGACTGTAAAAATGAAACAAAAACATAAAAGACGATATTTGGTGATTGGTAATTTGGATCAATAGAAGTAAGTTTTCTTCTTTTATTACCTTTGACATATAAGTTATTTATCTATTTCAACTCAGCTTTTCTCACTGTGAAATTATCAAATATAATTTTCACGGATAAATCAGTAATCCACTGAAAAGTATAAAATGATATTTTCTATAATTGCATGTGTCAGTAGAACAACCTAGATATCCCATCCTCTGTCTTTTGTTTCAAGAACGAATAGGAACCTGGTGTTACAAAGAGTTCATTATGTTAAAATATGGTTATTAAGCAAATTCATTTTATACTTCCACGTTTTCAAACAAAACGTAGTGTCGTGACATCAGCAACGTCATTCCGAATTACAAGACGTATTATGTGCAACAGATGGAGTAAATAGTGTTACGATATATAATAAAACAATGTGTCTTACTATTTTTGTACGGGAAAACTTAAAACAATATGCCTTACTTCCAAAGCCTTACATCCAGTATTGTAAACCGGTTTGAAGTCAACTGGAGACAGTATTTTTTCTATGTAGCAAGTCTGTAAATGTAAGCAAAATCAAAGCACGGTAGACACTGAATTTGTTTGAGTCACAAAAGAACATTAACTTTTACTTCGTAAATATCAATTCTGACTTTTTTCTATTGATATGATGACTATAAAGTATAGAAACAGAATTTCATATAAACTTTGATAAGAATGGCCACAAAATACTTAATTTTTCAATCAATTTTACGTGATAACCCTTTGATTTTTTTACCATAGAAATGAGAAACACTTTAAGAACATTACGAGTTGTAACAGTAAACATAATGATGCATATTTGGCATCAGCTAATCTATAATATTAAACATGACATTTTTGATACAATATTTACCTCGTTGGCATTGCACACAATGGCTTTTTTGCAGTTACTTAAGTCAGCGACATTTTCACAGCGTAAGCATGTGATACATTCGGCAACTTGAAAATAAAAAGAACCCTCTATGAAAGGAAATGTTTTATAGATTACTTGTTTTTTATACTAAATTCGTTAAATTTGTAAATTTTATACATATACACATAATATTATACTATAATATTTATCATTATATTATTTTTATATCAAGAAAATGAATAACTATTTATATTTAGAATTGATAAGATGTTATGTTTCGGTCACTTAGTATTAACCAGCCATAATTTCAAATGATATGCTTTGATGTCTCATAATCAAATCTATAAGCCAATCCAAATACAATCTGATTAAAATCAGCTCCTAATTCTCGCTACGCATCTGACGGCATCGATAGGAGGTCACCTTCTCGTGATCTTTCAAACAGCAAACATCGGCGAGCTTTCACAATTTAAAAAGTTTCTAATTCAACACTTGAAAACCAATACTGAGTAGGTATTTTCACAATTGAATTGAAATGAACTTGATTCCACTGAAACAATTGTTTTATACATCTTTATTTTTATTTTTTCCTAAGTAAAAAGTCATGGTTAGAAAATATTACCTTTTATGTTGAGTAAAATAAATCCAAACAGGACAAAGCCTGAAAAATCAAAATGCAAATATTTTTATTCATAACACATTTAAAGTATTTTCTTATCAGGTATCCATCTGTAAAAGCTAATGTTTATTTCCATTAACAAAAGCCGAAAGGAGAAATCATGGAAGTAGTCCAACACACTAAAACTGAAACAGCTCCAGGGTCGGTGTCATTTTCTCTGTTAATTGTATGTTTTCGTCCATCCATGCCACCCCCCCCCCCGCAAAGAAAGAAATTCGCCTGAAACATTATCCATATCTAATTATGAAAATGGTGTGTAATTTAAGACTAACAGCAAATATGATCATATAGAGGCTGATAAACACATTTTACCTCTGGCTTCCCAGCGAGTATCTTGTAGCTGAGAGTTCTACATAAATTTTCTATCTTTCACACCGACACTGCAATGGTCATATGGTGGCTTTCAAGCTTTAGTGATGGAGGGGCCACTCCTAAATTATTTCAGGCACGAGCAAAATCTTGTTAGAAGAATCTAGCTGGATATATTCCTCATATGAAAGAATCCAAGGTCACGGGCGGGATTCGAATCCGCAACGGCGTGTGTCAAGTGCTTTGAATGTTTTATGGACATGTCGAGAATCATTTGATAAATTTGAAAATAAGCAATCAACGCATCTAAATTAGTCAAGTAATAATAAAATAGAAAAATAAAAATTAAACTGATTAAACAGTAATTTAATTATAGGACAGATGTGTTTTATCTCAAATAATGACAACTTTATCAGTCAATGTGAACTAATAGCTAGCATATAGGACGATTCTATAAGAATGTGTGTATTGACCTTTTATATTATTAAACAAATTAACCCAAGACACTATTTATAGTTATGAGTGTACTAAAAGTCGTTGTCCAGTGCTTTACTCTGAATAGCGCTGTACCTTTTTTAACAAAGTAGAAAAACAATACTCATTGAATTTAGGTAATGAACGTTCAGGAATGTATTGATATTTTGTTAAAAGAACAATAATATTTTACCTATAGGTACTATCCGTTTCATCTTCGTGGTGGTATATCTGTGTAAAGTCGCGGCGCGATAAGGAAGTGTACTTAATGATCTAATCATTAAACAGATAACAAATTTAGTATATACACTCTTAATATTCCTTCCCAGCTCACAGTTTTGGCGTTAAAATTGTCGTCTGCTGACTGTGCACCTAGCAGGTGGTCAAATCAATTTGCATTTCTTCTGCTTTTAATCTGTTATTCTTCCTAAAATAGAACATCGAGGACGCGTTTGACTCCTCGCATGTCCAAAGGTCAAATAACGCTGTGAAAATACTAAAATCGTTTAGCGTTTTATGTGTCAGCATATTAATATAATTTATCCGTACTTGTAACATAGAGAAATTAAATCATTTTGATACGAGTATAACATAAATAAATTACTTTGAAATTAGAAAGTATGGAAATGTACATAATTTTGCATTTAACAGAATATTCATGACAATACTTTTTCATCAATGCCCATGTCTCTTTTACTTTGCATCTTGTGTGCTCTTGGTTTTTATTTTCGGTTACTAGATATCAAGAATAATATCGATCTAAGTGTTGTTATTTGACCATTTTAAATCACTTTTGGAGTTGCTACCTTAAGAAAATTGAAAACTAACAACCGAAAGCTTATGAAGTAATTCCTATCACAGCCACTTTTATTTTGATTCCTACGCTATATTATTTCAACATCCATTACAAGTATTTATAGCAACTCTAAATTGATGCTAAATATCCGAATGTCATCTCTTAGACCGATTTAATTTTCTTATTATTGTACTATAAATAAAAGTGGTTAAAGTCACTTTAAGCTTTAGAACAAATTATGGACAAATGACAAATCATTTCAATGTGAATACAAATGATAAATATATGTCATTTAGAATGGAAGTTGAACATGTACATATGTACATGGCGTCATTAGAATAAGAACAAAGCTCTTGAGCACAGTTTCTAACACCGAATTCTCTGACAATGTGACCAATCTATATTTCTTATGGTGGCTGATTAGCGACATATCGCAAAATACGTAAAAACGAAACCAAGTTACAACAGAGTTAAACTTTGCCGCATCTTCATGTTTTCTCATTTTCGAGGGGAAAACAAATGCAAAAGGACAACAAAATAAGGGTGACGATAAAATGAATCGTGTTTTTGAATTACATTTGCTTTACTATTTGCGTTTTAGTGGCGTAAATTGAAGTGCGACTTTGTCGTATGTTTGCTCGTTTCTTGTTGTGGTTGCTTTTCCGCTTTGTACTTTCTCGTATTTTCGCGTAGGGCACAACTATAGCCAGGGATCAAGCTTAAATGTGACGGCATACAATTGAAAAATAGAATGTTTATATCATTTTAACCATTGTTGTTTAAGTGAATTTATCAACATGCGCTTGTTTAATTTGACTTCATTATTCCGCACTGTGGTAAATGACTATGCAAAAAAAAAATCAAAGCACAGAAGGCGCTGAATTTGTTTGGGTCTCAGAATGTAAGAAAGGTGCAGGTTGGGAGATTATATGTTTAGTGCCACCAATGCTTTCCAGCGTTTTAATTGTAGTAAATTGGCTATAAGACTAATTGCAACACTGATATTCAATCCAATGTTTATTTGACTTTAACAATTTAAAAAAATGAGTTACCTTTACTGGGATTTGAACTCCAGACCTCTCGCTTCCTAAGCGAGCCCGAAAACCCTTCAGCCACGGTTAAATTTATATGTGAACGGCCTGAAGAAAACCATATTATTCTAAATTAGGGCTTGTAACGACTTTTAACTGTTGTTTAACACAGATGTAATTAATCCTGAAGAATACTATAAGCATGTATATTTATAAAGAATCAAAGGGCTTCAAGTTCTTTGGTATTTTCTGATCTTTGCAATCTAAATCGTACTGTATATCTGTATGCATTTTCCTGTATAAGTTTATTTTTATGTATTATAATTCATTTTGTAAGGCACATACGGAATTCTGCATAACTAGAGTTGCATCAAAAAATCATTTATGTACTTTTTTTACGACAGCCACACTTTATCCTTGTAAATCATGGCTACTTCCTTAACAAAAACAATTAAAAAAAGAATTTAACAAAAAAAAAAATTCCTCGACTGGGATTCGAACTCGAGACCTCTCACTCACTAAGCGAGCGCGTTACCACTGTACCACGGAGAAGTTATACACAGAATGTCTGAATAATATCAAGTCATTCTAAATTTAGAACTTCCATTGCATTCAGGTTTGTAATCCTTATTAATTTCGAGGTATTTTGTTCAGGGTAAACCTGTTGTTTAAAATTGAAGTAAATATTTTAGCGAAAATCCTCTCGCCCAAACAGTCCGACATGTAGAATCTATATATTCCACTACTCGGTTTGTGTAGTATTCGGTAATCTACATGGCTAAAAATAGTATTTTCATTGATAAAATCATATTCATCCGCGTAATTTGTGATTGTGCATTTATTGACAATTCTATAAGCCAACGCTATTGTTTAAGTTTAAATGCGTTGTAATTTGTTGGATACTTGTAACAAAATAAAATATTTCTTTCTTTTAAATCGCTAGTTTTAAGCTGTTTTGAGAACTACTTGTTGTTAGGTTTGTCATAAACTTCTGTGTCAGAGATTGAATGTCCGCTTTGTATTTAGTTATTTTCGATCAGAAAATACCAGAAAACAATATTAGAAATCTTCGACCATTCGGGAATTACTTTGCTTGAAAATTGATGCGCCTGTCTTTGACCATCTTTACGCAGTGATCTCCCCTGAATTTTTCGGCTTTAGTGTACATACAAAAGGGAAGTAACCGCTTCAAAAAAGTGGACTACTTTCGGCATTTGCAATTAAGAACATTAGACTCTGAAATTTCGCTACCATTATTTGTTTGGTCTGACGACCCAAACAAATAAAAATCAGAAAAAAGGCAAAGATGAAACAACAAATAAACATGTGAATACATGACAGATCTATTCTTTGTGTCGTATTATTTTGCTTTTCTGTTTCAATAATGTGAAAACATGAAGATACAATAAAGTCAACGATATGATACTAATAAAACCACCATTACTGTTCGAACTGATTACGACATTTTCACACAGGCCGGCGTATATGACCTACTACTGTGTTTATCATTAAAAGACACATTTCACATGGCAGTAAGATAAAACCGCATATCTATGTTCAATATACAAACGTCCTTACTGTTAAAGTATTCGTTTAGATGAAGATTATGTACTACAAAAATAACACCCGCGATTCTTTAAATCATCCTTGTTTATTGGCCTCGACATTAACTTTGTTTTAGAACATTTGCATTGAGAAATTGTTGAGAGCAGTGAAGATGATAAGGTAATTACAATTTTCGTTCAATAGATTCGTAGAGTCGCTTGTAGCATTATGCCAGTAAACGCGTAAATGGTAAGTGCACAGTAAAAAGTCAAAAAGACATTTACGTTTTTCCGTAATTGTGTTAAATTTTATATTTTCCTTAGTGACAAACATACATTTATATAAATATCGCCTGGAATGTATCGTTAACGTTCAATTTGAAAAAGAGTAGGACAGTCTTTGGATAATTTGGGCAGTCTTTTTATAGGTTATCTTAACATTTTTATTATCAATTACCGTATTGGTCTATGACAATTATGATAGTTAATCTCTTGAAATATATTACTTATTCAACTTAACAGCGAAAAAAGAGCATAATGGCACTTAAAATATACAAATCCATAACTAAACGGGTGCTATGGAACGTTAGAAATGTTAATTTTATCATTGTATTTCATGAAAAAGAATAAACCAAACCATTAATTTTAATACCATTGCCCTCCCTTTTCTGTATTTGTCTGCAATTGTTGGTTAATCATTAATTTATTTCTTGTCTTACACGAAATAAACAAATCTAATTTAACCAGTCATTATTAACAAATCCCATTGCATATTTGTATCAAGAAAAAAACTTTCATCTCTTCAAACACTTTTACAAGGTTCATTGAAATTGATAGAGTGTGTTTCTTTTGTCCTCGGGATGTGTATTTATTACTTGTAAACATATCAATGGCATTGATCGACTTTTACCTTTCGTACTTAATTGTTCTAAATAGTACCCCATTATTTTAATTTCCATGGTCTGAACTAGAAACTACAGGTTCTGCGTTCCCTTAATTTAGAAACGAATTATAGGCGCCGTGTTCGTTTAAACTTGAAACGAAACTTAAGGCATCGCGTATGTTGAAACTAGAAACGAAACTGTAGGCGCTGCGTTCATTTAAATTGGAAACGAAACTGTACGCGCTGTGTTCGTTTAAAACAAAAAACGAAACCACGGTTGGTGCCGCGTTTTAGTTTAGTGTTATTTCCCCTTGTTGATCTTATTTCACGGCGTCTCAACGCCGTGATATTGTGATGGGTAGTTTTCGGTAGCATGGGCAAAAGTCACGTGACAAAATGCCTTTTGATTTCTACAGCCGACATTTTATTGTTTTTACGCAATCATTGTACAGCCCATTTCCGTGAAAAGTTACATAGAAACAGGATTTTTTTCAAAACCATACAGAATCTAAACAGTATTTTATCAACACACGAAATATCAACGTGTTATATTAACACATTTCCGGACATCCTTTCGACATGCTTGAGAAATTCGCCTTGAATGGATTATGTATGGTGGCTGATTTACGCCATCCGTATATTTTCGTGTCTTCGCCTCAAAATGCGAAAATACGAAGGAACGACATATTTGGACTGATATGTTCTCATGTCGGATCTATGTCACTCTTTGAGTGAATCTTTTCACGTGTAAAATGTCTTTGAACATTACATTCCTAAGTTTCTATATTTGCAATTAAGAACTTAAATTGTCTTTTTTTGAATAATTTCATTTTTCTTGCGCAATTCTCTAAAATGAGACTTGGTTTTTCTATATGCGTTTCACAATAAACATTCACCATACCAGGTTGTAAAATAACTTAATTTGGTACTGAAATCAGTTTTTAACACAACATAAAACTTCATTCAGATTTCATGTCTCGTTATATTGTGAGCAAAATTCTGAGTTTCCTTTAGATATGAGCAAGAAAATGTTTTATTACCCCCCGCCGAAAAGACGATGGGGGATATAGAATTAGTCTCCAT